ATCATTCGGTAAGTTAGTCGTTTTTGTGAATGTTTGCAAGGATCCTAGAAGGACCTCTAGCTTTGTAAACACGAGCAACCTTGGTGCTTATCACCTCCTGTCACTGTAGTTAAAGAGAAACAGAGGCAAACCAGGATCGATATTTCATACATAAGAGAAATGTGGAGCCGGCAATCCTATTCAAGAAATTAAAAAGTATCACAAAACCTATTTGTTATTGAATATTAAAAAAGGACAGTAAAATTTGAAAATAAATGGTTGATCAGCAAAGGAAGTGGCCAGCAAACCAAACAATTGTTCGGATAGACATTCTTGCATTGTGCTGTGCTTGCAACCAAAAATAACTCCAGCCAATTTACTCTTTTCCGAGATTCCTGGCGGTGACACTGCCATTTAACGTACAAAGAGGCAGGGATTTTTCCTGCATTGTACAGGTCCGAGTATTCCTCCCAGCGCCCATCTGCGATTGATGAAAAAATCCACGATAAGTAAAAGGTTTCAAGAATAAGGAAACTTATCTCAGGAAGCTACTGTATAACAGTCCATATATCTTATTTAAGGATCGAAAATCATACTCCCGCATTCGTTCAAGATCATCAAATTAAATAAAATGCCGAAGAGAGCAAGTCTGAATCAGCCAAACAACGTTGCCTAAGGAATGATTAAATATACTTGTCCAGAAACAGTAGAGTTGCAAGATGAACATATACTTGAAAATACAACTTGAAGCAGAGGCGAGGTGTACGAAACTCAACAAAAGATACTCCTGAGTAAGAAATCGTCGCACGTCTATAGTAGAGTACAAAGAAAAGTAGAAAATAATATCGAAAACCATAAAATAAAAAAATAAAAAATCTTCGGCTAACAAATTATGCTCAGCGAATGATCAAATAGACTTGACTAAAACAATAGAGTCGCAATGCGAGTTACTTCGGAGGTGGAAGATGAACATGATGCATTTGCTTGAAAACAAAACTGAAGAAAAGGCTAAAAGATGTACGAAACTCACCGGAGAAAAACAAGAAATCGTTAGACTCGACGGAAAACTTCTCGCCGACGGCCAAAGAACGATTTGACGGAAATGAAAGACGCGAGAGGTTTTGACACTCTCTGATGGACGAAGACGGACGGTTTAGTAAATGCTCAGGAAATTACGATTTTACCCTTTCAATTGCTGGAAATCTTCACTTCCCCCTCTGCTATACTTAGTAGGCTGTAGGCCTAATCTTGAAAAGTTAAAATAGTAAAATAGCTACAAAAGAGGAAGTTTGTCAGGTTTCATGATTCCTAATTAAAATTTGCATGACTCTTCCTCTTCCATATAACCATTCTTTTTTTTGGTTTGTTTTTAATTTGTAAATTGTAAACACCATTATCTAATTTAATTTGAAGCGGTAGTATAAATAATATATATATATATATATATATATATATATATATATATTATAAGGTTTAAAATTTTATAAAAATGACATAAATTACAAACTTATACAAGTGACCAACCAAAAGTCACTTTTGGAATGTTAAAGAAAATAGAAATATTAATATTTCTATAAATACATATTTTCATTTACTATAATTCTCTTTTGTTTCATTTTTTAAGTGTAAAAAATAAAAACATATGATTTATCTTGTTGATGGGTACCGTGGTAATTAGCATATATTCCTCTTTAAGTTAGAAGTTAGAATCCTCATACGTCATTGATGCTCTCTCTATGATTTCTCTCCTCCTTTGGTATTGCCTTCTTACAATTTCTCTCGATTGACATCCTCTTCTCTTTATAATTTTCATTGACAGGCTCTCATTGGTAAAGATGAATGCAGCACTAAGAAAACCTTCGTTACACTGAAATGCTTTTGCTCCAATCTAATTAATCATCAAGAGGAAATGAAAAGTTTCATAAGAACAAACAAAAACAAGTAATCTCCAGTTGGCATGTTCATCATGTGTGGCTATTATGCTATTATTGCATTTTAATTTATAATTACAATGGTTCTAAAACAATGTTTATAACGGGTAGTAAATGAAATTTTTGTTAAGTTGGTTTTTCAAACATATAAGACTTATATGTTGAACTAAATGACCCTTTGTATTCTAACAATCGAACAAAAGAACCACAAACTTAATTTGATTGATGATTGAATTGAAAATGTATTTGAAAAATATGTAAATTCAAATTTGAGAAGAGAAATAGGTAATTATCTCATTTCCAAATGAATTCGATTAATGAAGGACACTAAAGAAGTAGTCAAAAGTTTACAATTAAAGTTTGATACTAAAGAAGTAGTCAAAAGTTTACAATTAAAGTTTGACACTAAAAAAGTAGTCAAAAGTTTACAATTAAAGTTTACTTTATATATTCAAATAATTTCCATCAATCTTCATTCAAGAAAAAAAAAATATTTTTTGGATATTTCCATCGATATTTTCATGAGTAAAATGGTCATATTATTATCTTTAATGGTTAAAAGTGATCAACTATAGGCTAATTAAGCTACAATTCATGTTTTATTTGCTAATTAAAAAAATTCCATGTATTTTCATTACTTTTGTAGAAATATCTGGCGACATCGACATTTCATTCAAACCTTGAAAATAGTAATAAAGTTGTACTAAAAAGATATATAGTAATGCAAAAGTACTACTGTAAACAGTCAAAAAAAATTTCATTAGGGTCAGAGGTGAAGCAAATTATTTTCATTTTTAGTAAGAATCAAGAATGCCTTTTTTAGTACAAAATTATAAGGGTGCATTTGGTTGATAATAAAAAAATAGAAATTTGAGAACAATGAAAACCATAGCTGTATTCTTTGTTTTCAGTGTTTTCACATATGTGTTTGATAGTAGATTTAGTAATTGAATCTCAATTTAAAAAATTGTTCAATATGTGTTTAGTAATATATTTGTAAACTAGAGGTGGTTGCAAACTAAATTTTAGTTTAATCTAAACTTATATTAATTAATTTATTAACATTTTTTTATGAATTTTGTATAATTGTTATTTTACAAGGTTATATAATTTAGAATACATTATATTTTACATGTTTTAATTTTAACAAATATAAAATGAGTTTATAATATGAAGTAATATATTTATCAAAGTTCTTATCATTTTTAATGTAATTCTGCATCTTCAAAATTTCAAATTCTGAATCTGAAAACATAAAAAAATCGTTTTTAGGAATCACAGAATCCGAAAACAGTTTTAAAAACAAATATCCAAAATCCTGTCAAACGCGTATTCCTGGATCCATTTGATTTAGTGAATCTGAAAACAAAAAAACAGAATCCGAGTGGACATCGTGGAGTTTTTTGCTTTATTTTACATTTCCTAAAAAAAGAAAAAGAAAAAAAAAAAGCTAGATTGCATGGGTAAGAATAAAAAATGTCTTTTATGTGTACAAATTTTTCAGTTTTTTATTAAGTGTAAGTAGATTGTATGGGTAAAAATGAAGAATGATTTTTGTCAGCTCTTAAGAAAGTTGATTTTGTTTCCTCCATTAAAAAAGAATTCAATATTTTTTCAAATGAAAATCTAATATAGTCTATTTTGTTGTAGTTGAATTTGAACCAACTCAAAGTTGGGTTATTAAGGTCGTTTGATAACATTGATATTCATTGTTTCTGTTTCTTTATTTTTAATGAGTAAAAATGTATTGAATGTTTATAACTTCCAATAATTTCAAGTATAATAAAACAACATTTTTATTTACGTTTTGGAACAAATTAGAAATGGGAAGAAGAAACTTATTTTTGTTGTTTCTAAAATTTTTATACGAATATTCCAAAAAAAAAAAAACAAGAAACAAAATTAGTTGTAAAATATTTAAATTTCTTTAGAAAATTGAAAACGAGAAACAAGAAACGGGAACTTATCAAACCCGTCTTAAAACAATTAATTTCTACAAATTTAGTTACATGTGTTAAAGCTATAAAATCATGTATAAAAGGACAATATATAAACTGCTGGAAAATAGAGTGATTGTACCTTCTCTGAAATCACATTGAATTGTTTCCATAATACTGAAAGTTCTTCCCTACAGTGGACGTAGGTCTAATCCTTGTTGTGATCTTCTTCCCTTTCATCTCAACACTTTACTTTCTTTTGCCTTGCGTCTGCAATCACAAAAAAGGGAAAATGTTCTTTTATTTCCCCAACCTCTATCAAAACTAAAACTTAAACATTTTTTTAAGTTGAAAATTGGAAACGCTTATTTAAGTTTAAGGTGAAATTTAACGAAATTGAAAATCTAGGGTAAAAATTGATCCATGCTGTCAAATTTAGTGTTAAAAATTAAAATTCATTCTTTCCCGTTGTGTCACTGTTGATATGCATCTATATTACTCTCTACATTAATCTGAATGCAAATAAAAAAAAAAAAGAACTTTTATATACATTTGCTAATTTGATTTATAATCTCTATTGGGACTGCATTCTTGAGATTGATGATTCCTTAGAAAATATTGTCTTGAGTTTAATGTCACAAGTCTTGATGGGAGATCAAAGACTTATATGGAGATCTCGCTAAGTTTTATGATTTGAGGTTGAATAACATATTTAGAGATCCAAGCCAAATTTCATGATTGGAAGGTTGAAGATTTATAATTCAGATCTAGCTTTTGCGTCAATGAATTAATGAAATATTTTGATCTCTTAAATATGTTAAAGTAAAACATTTTTTAGAAGCAAAANTTCTAAACATGTTACTACTTACTATTGTTCTTTAAATACTTTTCCGAAAATCTTCTTCTTCATTTTTAAATTAAAAAAAATGCATTTTCTTCCTGAAATATACAACAGTCAATTAAACAGAAGGGAGAGAAGGATGAAAAAAAATGGAGAGGGATAATATCATCAAAATAACATCAAATGCTCCACCATATCCAAACTGTCTAGCAATCAGAACAGATCAAAGAAAGAAAAAGTTGACTCAAACTTCACCCCCATATCTACCAAATCTGGGGGTATTGAAAAAAAGCTGCTGCCAAAACTGTAACATAAATGGAGATTAACGCAAGTTAAACAGTGCTTAATAGAAGTCCTCTAGTTTACTAATCAAGAGAAGTCAACAGACAACAGTAAATTTACACTCATGCTATGTCCCAAAGGCTTCATCCATAAGTTCCACCATCGGCTCTCACGTTGGTTTTGGAGGTGGGCATCTCGGTTGTCGCTTTGCATTGTAAAGTCATCCTCTGTATGTGACATTCTTTGAAGAAAACTAATGTTGTTGATACAACTAGAACTATGGCTACTCCAAATGTTTTCTGTTGTTGTATGAACATCGCAAGGGTGAAAGCAGCAGCGAGAAAACCCCTTGTTACACCAAAATCCCTCCCTCCAATCTCGTTAATCATCAAGAGGAAATGAAAAGTTGCATATGACAACACAAAAACAAGTAATCTCCAATTGGCATGTTCCTTATGTGCCATTACGTAATACATAACATAACCATTTCCAAAAGCCTTCAAAACACCTACCAAAGGAAAAACTAAACTCCCCCAATTCTGCAAGAAGTTGGAGAACCATTGTTGAGTGAATATGAAAATGCCAAACATGTGAAGTGCTGCAAAGCCAAGAGTAACCAGGAATATATGATTTGGAGGGATTTCAGTTTCCAAGCAGTAGGCCAATGATGCAACACATACACCCAGCGATATAAGAGTTCGATCTTGACCCTTGATAATCTTCTCATAAACCAGAGTATCCATGTGCTCAAACAGCTCAACAATCTTTCCCCACTTCATTTCAAGGAAATTTCAATTCAAGTGTAAAAAAGAACCAGAGAGGTGGAATGGCAGCGGAGAAGATCACAAGTAGAAGAAACAAAAGCCCTGTTTATTTAAGCAATCGGGAAATTATTGAAGTGTTGAATCAGGAAAAAGAAAATATAAAGTTGAGTTTATGTTTGAATATCAGAAAAACCACAGAAACACAATTGCATACCAACGCTATCCAGGGACAACCAAACTTAATACAAATTCAGATATATCTAAACGAATTTCAGATGAAAATTATCTCGAGAAGCATGTATATAGCAGTCTATATATATTATTTAAGAATCGAATATCTTATTCCTGCAATCCTTCAAAGCTCCTCAAATTAAATAAAATGCTGAAGGGAACTAGTTTGATCAGCCAAACAACATTGCCTAAATATACTTGTCCAAAAATAGTAGGATTGCAAGATATTATGAGAGGTGGAAGAAGAACATGTCATGCTTGAAAATACAACTTGAAGCACAGGCGAGGTATAAGAAATCATCGCACGTTTCTAATAGATTACAAAGAAAAGTAGAAAAGAATCGTGAAAACCGTAAAAAAAATCTTCAGCTAACAAATTATGCTCAGCGAACGATCAAATAGACTAGTACAGAACAATAGAGTTGCAAGGGGTGTTATTGCGGAGATGGAAGATGAACATCATGCTTTTGCTTGAAAACAAAACTGAAGCAAAGGCTAGACGTACGAAACTCACCGGAAGATGGATAAGAAATCGTCGGAAACTTCTCGCCGACGGCGAATCCCGGTTCAAAGGCCTCACCACAGAACGGTTAGATGATTCGAGATTTGAATAGAAGTGGAGAATCAGAAAATAGTGAGCACGCTGCACTGTGAATGTGAATACCGCGAGTGACGACTAAATGGACGGAAGACGAGCGGTAAATGTTTGAGAAATTACCATTTACTCCTCCAATTGTGAGTATGGAATAGGGATTAGATTTTAAACTAATTGATTGGATTTTTGTGTGATTTAAAAAGCTAATCTAATTTTGCATTTTTTTAAAATTATATTATTTATGAAATTTATAACTTTTTCAAACCCAAGATCCTTTTATGAAATTAAAAAAAAAAGTTTTCAAAATAAAACTTCCAAATCCATAACCCTTTTAAATTTAATAAATAAATAAATTCATCTATAAAACTCTAATGCAGACAAGGAATAATAACTTTTCAATATTATTAATGCGTTCCAAATTTGTATAATGTCCCTCGTGATGCTCATAATCATTGATTTAAATTTTATTATTGAATTGTGAATTAATAAAACTTGAGATTTTATATAAAAAGTTATGGTAAATTGCAAAAACCATCCCTAAATTATAATAGTTGTTGCAATTACACCCACAAACTTCTAATCATCAAAATTAAACCCTCCAACTTAAATAATTGTTTGAATTAATCTTTCGTGTTGGTTGGGTTAGAATTGTCGTTAAGTTCTGCATAAAAAACAAAAGGAAAAACAAAAATAAAACTCTCAAACTCAAGTTTGAAGAGCAGCGTCTGATCCTTTCTTGAAAACCTGATATGTGATGTTTGATTGCTTGCACAATTTCATCTTCCTTAAAACGCTTCCATTTTTAACTTTTTCTAGTTATTCATCTACGTAGTTTTGGGTTCCTCTTAGTCTCAATTTCGCCGAATTTTTTAAGATAATTTTGCAGAAAATGGAAGTCTGTCGCTGAGTTTGTAATTATCTCAAACAAAAGTCATCCTCTCTATACGACATTCTTTGAAGAAAATTAATGTTGTCGATACAACTAGAACTATGGAACTAGAACTATGGCTACTCCAAATGTTTGTGGTTGATGTATGAACATGGCAAGGCGAAAGCAGCAAGAAAACTCCTTGTTACACCAAACTCCCTCCCTCCAATCTCGTTAATCATCTAGAGGAAATGAAACTTAAGGTCTGGACTAAATTGTCGATTTTTTAAATTTAAGGATCAAATAGAAACTTATCATCAAACTTAGAGATCAAAAATGTATTTTAGAAATCTGTACGATACAAAAAAGAAATTGATTCCAAAAATAACTCACATGCTCGATATTAAAATAAGAGTATCATAATTATTTGTGGTACAATGAATAATCATATGATTATATTCTGTACCTGTCATGCTTTCTAAACAAAATAATCAAATACTTTTGATTTCTATAAAACAAAAAATAAATGAAGGATGATAATGAGAATAACAGTTTATTGCAATTATGAAGTCAAAAAAAAAAAAAACAGTTTATTGATGATAATATTTGTCCAAAGTTAAATGTTGTCTTATATTTTAGCTATCTATCTTCCATGTTTTTTTTTAAGTTAAACTTGAATATTTATATTCCAAGTTTTTTTTTTTATAATCATTTTATTTAAGGAAGAAGCATAATAATTTTTATATATTGGATGACTAAATATATGGTTGATAGTACAACAACACATAATAGATGGATGTGGCATTTTACGAAGAATGGCTCCTATACAGTAAGAAGTGGGTACAAGTTAGCTATGAGATTGAATCTACCTTCCCAATCCTCTAGCTCTGACAAAAATGAGAGGTGGTGGAAGGATTTCTGGAAAATGGACCTTCCCCCAAAAATTAAAATTTTTCTGTGGAAAGCAATCAGAAATTGTATCCCAGTAGTGACAAACTTGAGGAGAAGAGGTATGGAGGTGTCACCTATGTGTCCAATTTGCCTGAAAAAGGAGGAGACAGTGGATCACGCTCTGGTGGGTTGTAAACGGGCGTCCAAAATCTGGTCTTTGCTTCTGCCAGCATTAGATTCTTCTAAAAATTTTAACGGCTGTTTTGTCGACCGGTGGACTAAGGTGATGTCGGATCTTTCGCAAAAAGAAGTCACCCTCGCTGGTATTACTAGCTGGACCCTGTGGAATGATCGAAATTCACACATTTTTAAAAATGGTACAGCTTATGTTCATTTGAAATGTAGATGGATTTTGGAGTATGCTGATGAATTTCTGAATAAAAATAAATTGACCTTGGAGACGCAAGCGGCCCCCTCCTTCAATCCCATCGTCTGGTGTCCCCCTCCAAAGGGGTTTTTAAAAATCAATACTGATGCTGCGTGTACCACCTCTGTTGGAAAGTCCGGAATAGGGATTTTAATCCGTGATGATGAAAATCGGGTACAAGCGGCGATGATTTCTTCCCAGCGTTTGGGAAGCCCCCTTTTGGTGGAAACCCTTGCTATCAGAGAAGGAATTCGTTTGGCGATNTGAATCTACCTTCCCAATCCTCTAGCTCTGACAAAAATGAGAGGTGGTGGAAGGATTTCTGGAAAATGGACCTTCCCCCAAAAATTAAAATTTTTATGTGGAAAGCAATCAAAAATTGTATCCCAGTAATGACAAACTTGAAGAGAAGAGGTACGGAGGTGTCACCTATGTGTCCAATTTGCCTGAAAAAGGAGGAGACAGTGGATCACGCTCTGGTGGGTTGTAAACGGGCGTCTAAAATCTGGTCTTTGCTTCTGCCAGCATTAGATTCTTCTAATAATTTTAACGGTTGTTTTGTCGACCGGTGGACTAAGGTGATGTCGGATCTTTCGCAAAAAGAAGTCACCCTCGTTGGTATTACTAGCTGGACCCTGTGGAATGATCGAAATTCACACATTTTTAAAAATGGTACACCTGATGTTCATTTGAAATATAGATGGATTTTGGAGTATGCTGATGAATTTCTGAATAAAAATAAATTGACCTTGGACGCAAGCGGCCCCCTCCTGCAATCCCATCGTCTGGTGTCCCCCTCCAAAGGGGTTTTTAAAAATCAATACTGATGCTGCGTGTACCACCTCTGTTGGAAAGTCCGGAATAGGGATTTTAATCCGTGATGATGAAAATCGGGTACAAGCGGCGATGATTTCTTCCCAGCGTTTGGGAAGCCCCCTTTTGGTGGAAACCCTTGCTATCAGAGAAGGAATTCGTTTGGCGATGCGGATGGGTTTCAGTAAGGTGGTGGTCGAATCTGACTCCCTCGAAGCGGTTAAACTTATAGAGAAGAATGAGGGGTGGTTAAATGAGGTGGTTTCATTGATTGTTGACATCAGACATTTGTGTGTGAATTTTGACGATTTTCGAATTCAGCATGTTCGTCGTGAGGGAAATAGGGTCGCTCATATTCTCGCTAGAAATGCCATTTCTATAAATAGTCCCCTTCTTTGGCTTTGTGATTTTCCAGTTTGGCTTCTGAGCAGTGTGAAAGCTGATGATCGCACTAATATAGCCTTGGCAAGTTATTTTCTTTAATGGAAGTTTCTTTTAACTCAAAAAAAAAAAACAACACACAATAAAAGTATTTTTTTTTTCTAAATTGACAATACTAAAAATAAAAGTAGTACAATATCAAGTTCTGTTAATTTAATCGAAAATTTTAGAAAAGCAAATATTATTTATTTGAAGAAATACAATTTATAATTGACAGTGCATTCTTCCCTAAAAAAATATACCTTATGTTAAAAAATGTAAATTTTATTTTAAATATTAAAAGGCTAAATATATATTTTGTTCCTTTAATTTAGTTTCTGAATTTTAGTTTAAATTTTAAGGACGTTTTTAAAAATAATAAAAAAAAAATACAAAGGGGAATATAGTGTTTATTTACTTAATTTTTTAAACCAAAAAATAAAAAATAAAATGAAGGTAAAACCAAGGCTAAAGAGTATGAACCTCATCCCATCTAGAATTCGGAGCCTAAACTGTTTATAAATTCTTTTAGCCGATTTAAACTTTTTTTTTGTCGATTAATAATCATTATCAACCGGTTAATCTCTCAATTAGTTAAGATGCCTATTTTGAACCAAAAAATAATGAGTTCATTCTCCATATTACACTAAAAATATAATTATTTTCAAAATTAAAAATTTAAAGATAGATATAGAAATATTGAAGTCTTAATTTCATAGAGATGGTAGGTAAGATATCATTATTGATGGATATTTTAAACAAACATTTTACTCTTTCTAGACAAATAAAAATTTTATTATTATTGATATTATATTAATGATATTTAGTTAATGTCAAAACAAGCAGTTGAACCATACTTGATATATATCTCCAAACTGTGAGTACAGTTACGGGCTTCTCAACTTCTCCCACCTTTTTTCTTTTTTGAGAGAACTCAACCATTCAATATTGTAGTTGTACTAAAAATAAAAAAGTAATAATAAAATCAATAATAAAAAAAATCAATATTTTATTTGTGACTGTACGTCTACCTGGCGTCTATATCCCATATTTTATTACGTATCCAACCTTCTGTTCACCCATTTCAATTTTTATTTTTGTGATTTTTATAAATATGTGATGCCAAAAAATTCCAAATATCAATTGTTGAAAGTTAGGCTTGAGGATCATAAACGATTGATTTCAGGATTATAATTTTATTTTTTAAGTTGTTAGATCATTGATAACAATTTACAGTGTGATTTTTTTTTTCATTTTAAAAAAATTTACAACGTGAATTTTGTATTGTAATCTATCAATTTTAACATAACTCAAATTAATAAAGTACACCTAAAGATAGATGATTTGACCTCTCATTGGACTAAAATCAGTAATAAGCTATTATAAATTTATTTTATAATTTAATAGCACGGAAAGAAGTCTAATAATCAGAATATTTTATTGTTATTCTAATTTTTAAAGAGCCAGGCAAAAAAAAAAAAAGATATAGTTATGAATTTAAAATATTAAAATATAATTTAGAGGTGGAAATTCAATTCAACGGTTCTACCAATTCGCTTTTTGTGACGATGTGGAAGTGACAGCTGCCACACCCTCGCCACGAAATGAAGCTCCATGCCCACGGCGGCTTTACTGCCGGACCCGTACATGCGAGCTCCACCGTCCGCCGGCCACGTTCTGCTGCTCCGGAGACTTCTCTCCGGCAGAATTCGATTTCGGAGAGTCGCGTTGTTAGGGGAATTTCAATCGGGAGAAAAAGTTGCGCAAGTTTTTCAATCAGGCGAAATAGCCGCGCAAGTTTTTCTGTTCATTGCCGACGGGATTTACAGGAAGATTCGGAGTGTTCTGATGAGGTAGGGAGAAAATCCGCTTCGCCAATACTCAGTACGAGACGAGCCGTGCTTGGTGTTCCGTTAATTGCAATTGGAGCTCGATTTCTACAATCAGCCGTAGTCAGAGCGGAAGAGAAGTCGCCGGAGTCTGTGACACCAGTCCTTGAGGCGGTGACTTCACCGTCGCCGTTGGCGTCGCCTCAAGCTTCGACGGTTGAGAAGGAGGAAGCAATAACTTCGAGGATTTACGATGCGACTGTAATCGGAGAGCCGCTGGCCGTGGGAAAGGACAAGAGTAAAGTATGGGAGAAGATAATGAATGCTCGGGTCGTATATCTAGGAGAAGCCGAACAAGTTCCAATTCGAGACGATAAGGAATTGGAGCTTGAAATTGTGAAAAACTTGAAAAGAAGGTGTGCTGAAAGTGAAAGGATATTGTCTCTGGCTCTGGAGGCGTTTCCTTCTGATTTGCAGGAGCATCTCAACCAGTACATCGACAAAAAGATTGATGGAGAAACTCTGAAGTCTTACACTTCATATTGGCCGCCGCAGCGCTGGCAGGAGTACGAGCCTCTTCTAAGTTACTGTCGTGAAAATGGAGTTCGTATAATTGCTTGCGGTACACCGCTCGAGGTAATTGATTTAAACTCTAATTTCATCCATTTGTCTTCTCTGGTGGGAAATTTACATGTCGAGACTCAACTCAAATAGCAGAAAACTAACCAATAGAGTATCCCATTAGCTTTATGCCTCTTTGAATAGCGAGCCTGTGGAATGAAAAACTATTGTTCTATCAGTGGCTTCACAGTCCCATGTCGAATCAGAAGCAGAGAAGACTGTAATGACAGATTCATATGGATTTAGACCCAATCTAGATAATATAATACCACTATAAAGATTGGGTCGTGTTGTTCTTTCCAAGTTTATAGTATTTGTTTTCTAGACATAGTCATGTGTGCTTTTATGGCTCTACAAGCTAGTTCTTTAAAAATATTTACTGATGTAAGAATTTCCTGATTTGTTTCATTTCTCTTCAGCATAATTTTGTCTGAGCTTCTTGCTGTTGTTCTTTCCACATAAGTAAGAGTCATCTTGTAATATGGATACCGCATTAATTATGAAATCATGAATAGGTTCTGAGAATTGTACAAGCAGAGGGTATTAGGGGGCTTTCAAAAGCTGATCGAAAAGTATTTGCTCCGCCAGCTGGTTCAGGTTTCATCTCTGGATTCACGGCTATGTCACGTAGACTAGCTGACCAGAATTCTCCTAATCAGCTTATTCCTTTTGGTCCAAGTTCATATCTATCTGCTCAAGCAAGAGTAGTCGAAGAATATGCCATGTCACAAATTATTTTAAAAGCTATGGGAGATGGTGGAGGAACTGGTATGTTGGTGGTCGTGACAGGTGCGAGCCATGTTACATATGGAGCTAGAGGCACTGGCCTGCCTGCTAGAATCTCAAGAAAGGTACCAAAGAAAAACCAAATAGTTATTTTACTTGATCCTGAAAGACAACAAATGCGGAGGGAGGGTGAAGTTCCTGTTGCAGATTTCTTGTGGTATTCTGCTGCCAGACCCTGCAGCAGAAACTGTTTTGATCGTGCTGAAATTGCTAGAGTTATGAATGCAGCTGGAAGAAAGCGTGATGCCCTTCCCCAGGTTAGCTTTTCTTTGTAGGTTGAACAAAACTAAATATTTAATTCTATTTCTTTGACTTGGTGAATTATTAGGTTAAGACTCTACTTCGTGCTTAATGTTATTAAATTTGAATGGGGTTCTTGGAATAAGAACCATCTTCTGGTAGCTTGTTTAAGTTATATGCATGTGTATCTGGAACTTTATTGTTCTTCCATATGCTTGCAGTACAGTCAATGTGTGATTAAACTTGATGATTGATCGTCCAGGTGCTGTACCCTATTGTTACAGGAAAATTTCATTTGATATTTGATTTATTCCATTCATCGTGTACTCATTTCAAAGTTATCCTATATGATAATTTATTGCAAATATTTTACAAGAACCAGGCTATATCATAATTCAACTTTCTTTTGGATGACTATGGCATTCGAGCTAGTTAGCATGCATCTTTAACTAATTAGACCGAGCCATTTCACGATCCTACAGCATTTCTTGAGCAGCTCTATTTTTTTAAGTCTTTATGGTAAGTATGTATACTTTATTCTACTTAATAGATATCGTGACATGCTTTCAGGATATCCAGAAAGGGTTGGATATGGGTGTAGTATCACCAGAGGTATTACAGAACTTCTTTGATTTGGAGCAATATCCTCTGATTGCAGAACTTACCCATCGTTTCCAGGTTTAGTTTCTTTCTGAAAAAAAAAAAAAAATTCTCAGTTGCTGTACTTCTCTGAACATCTTGCTAAAGCTCTCTTTCTCTATCAATAGAGCTCCAGTAATCAGAATTTTCAATTTCTGTCTGGTAAAATAGACATAGTGCTTGAATTTTACATTGATTCTTACTGCACCTTACTTTGGCACAGGGTTTCAGGGAAAGATTGTTGGCAGATCCCAAATTCTTGCATAGATTAGCAATAGAAGAAGCCATATCACTAACAACTACTCTTTTAGCACAATATGAGAGGCGGAAAGAGAACTTTTTCCTGGAACTTGATTATGTTATTACAGACACTTTAAGGGGTGCAGTTGTTGATTTTTTTACCGTCTGGCTTCCTGCACCGACGTTGGCATTCCTTTCCACCGATGACATAGATGTATCTGGAAGCACAGATATTTTACAAGGTCTACTTGGGTCTATCCCAGATAATGCCTTTCAAAAGAACCTTGCTGGAAAGAATTGGAACCTCAGTCACAGAGTTGCATCTGTATTTTTTGGTGGCGTAAAACTTGCTAGTGTTGGATTTATTTCCAGTATTGGGGCAGTGGCTTCCTCAAATGCTTTGTTTACCATCCGTAAATTCCTCAATCCAGGATTGGAGACTAAGCAACGAAATAAGAGATCTCCAATACTTAAAACAGCAGTTGTCTATGGGTGCTTTCTTGGCACATCAGCAAATCTACGATATCAGGTAGCCAGAAGATTTACTTATGCTTCAAATATGTTGACGTAGATAAACTGCTCTTTAAAGCACTCATTTCATTCTTATTTTCTGGTTTCTATTTTCATGGGGAGTACCTCAAAGGCTTTACTTTAACCGGAGTACTTATCAGTAGTTGTTACTAATCTGAAGGCGAATTTAGGAGCCTTATTCTCCATATGCCCAAAGAACTTGCATTTGCATCTCCTTTATAGTGTTCATCTACATTGTTTTAGCATATTTGTTCTCACGTGCTTCTTTCTCTTGAATGATTTCTTTTGGGTGATTTAAATGTAAAAATGTACCGTGGGAATACGTTGTTGAGAATTATAATTGACCTCTGCATTTGTTTTATTTTCCAGTTTCAATTTTGTTGTCCATTTCAATCATCTGATGCACCATCTTGTAATGCAGATTATTGCCGGAATAGTGGAGCACCGATTATCTGATGCATTTTCTTCTCAAATATTACTTGTAAATATGCTATCATTTGTTGTTCGAACATTAAACTCTTACTGGGGTACTCAGGTGCGTATCCCCCAACTTCATCTATTTTGGAAAAAAGCTCAAAAAGATCAATCTATTGCTTTGGATCTTAAGTAGACTGTGTTATCTATTCCACTGTTGTGTTTGCTTTCAGTAAATTAAGTGAATCAACTATGTTCATAAACCTAGGATCAAAGGAAGATTATGTCATCTGTGTTCAAATGAGATATACCTCACCAAAAAATTATGATTTATATCAGTCCAAAACCATAGTTATGCTACTCTCTCGTTTTGCCTTCTGGTATATGATTAACTCTCTTTTGGAACCTGCAGCAATGGATCGATCTCGCACGGTTTACCGGATTACAAACTCGAGAATCGCCTTCTTACCAAGTGCAAGAATCTTCCAATCCTGTTGCATTGGGATGTAATGTCACTGAAGAGGCAACTCAGGCAAGTACCGATGAGTTAAAGAATCAATAAGGTCACATAACGCATCCGAGATAACTTGTAAAAATTAAATCCGGATGCTACATAATTGACTCGTAAAGGATAGATTTGATTTTGAGGGATTTATTTTTCTCCTGCACTATTCGTTGTAAGCTATTCGATATTATTCATCTAATGCAATTTTGGTGAAATTGGAAGTCTAAAATCGTATATAGGAGCGTTCTGACCTTAAAAAACGAAGTACTTATGAAATTTTCAAAATAGCACTAGAGATGGTCGGCACACCTTTAGTTTCATCCAAAAAAAAAAAAAAAACTGGAGTGTCAAATGGGCTTCTATAATCCAAATGTAAGCTTATAATTATAATTCTTTTTTTTTTTTTTGGTAATGGTTTGGATGACGTGACACGATAAAGTGGAAGCAGTATATTGACATATATCTTCAAACGAGAAGTTGTAAGTTCAATCATTCACTGGTGTTAAAAATAAAAAATATGGTTGTAAAAATAAAAAATAAGAGTAAGTTACTCTTATTTGATCCCTGAGTCTCTTCTCTAATGCCATTTATATTAATATTAGGTGTCAAATTGTATATTTTATTTATTATTCCTTTTCTTCATGTGAAAAGTAATTTCATTCATAAAAAAAAAATTCTTGGGCCGCAAATACGTCAGCAAAAATGGATCTTTCAAACCAAATTGGTGGATGATCCATCCAGATACATGGATGACTAAGGCCCAAGGCCCAATCCACTAATTCGTAATAATTGTCTAAATATAAATTATTAGCGAAATATTCAAATAACAGTACTGGCGAAAGAGATTTATTCAAAAAAAAAAAAAAAGAGAGAGAGAAGAAACATAATTGAAAATTTTTGAAATGTAGAACAAAAAGAACACTAATATCCAAATAGCATTTCAATTTTGTATTACATGTATAAATTAATCTTTAAGGTTTAATCTAAGTTGGTGCCGAGTTTTCAGTTTGGCTGAAACTCAATGGAACTGTCGGCACTGATAACAATATTATAGTTTAGTCTTTAGTACCATTCTCATTTTTCAGGGGGCGTTTGATTTCTTTCTTTTCTTTCCTGTTTCTTGTTTATGATTTTCAATTTTTTAAAGAAATTTAAGTATTTTACAACTAACTATATTTTTCGTTTTTTTTGGAACATTGTCAAAATTGTATAGAATTTTTCGAAACAACAAAAACAAGTTTCTTTTTTCTTATTCTCATTTCCAATTTGTTTCAAAATATAAATAGAATGATTATTTGTATACTTTTTTTATACCAATTGTTTTATCATACTTTAATTCTTAGATGTTGTAACTATGAAATTCATTTTTATTCATAAAAAATGAAAAAATATAAATAAGAAATAGAAATGTTACTAAACAAGTCTTTAGTAAATGTTATAGTTTCTCATTATTCCATTTTCAATTTCTTCTAAAAACATAAATAAAACAATCATTTTACCATTATTGGCTCACAAAAATGTATCGTAAATATTTAAAAAATAAATACAACATAAAAATTTTAAATATATAATATAAAAAAACAAATTTTATATTTTGAATTTATAATTTTAGGGGGAGAGAAAAAAGTTATAAAATATATTTTTATATTTCGTAATTAAAAAAAAAAAAGAAGAAGAAAAGAAAACGGCTACCAAGTGGCATTCTAATTAAAATGTAAAAACAAAAAACAAAAGTTACCAAATGAGTCAAACTTATCCCCTCTTCTTCTCCTTGGAGTGTGCTCACTGTCGCCTGGCAGTTCCGTACTTGGATTGAATAAAATTAATCGGATAGTGAAATAAAGATGGAAGAGAATACTATGTATATATATGCATACAATCCATAAATTTATATTTCTATCAATATTTTTATCATTTATGTAGCTGACATCAAATATATTTTCATAATTTTATAAAAAATTCAATAAAATATAAGAAGGGTGGAATACTAATCCGATAATTGAAGTATTTCTTACAAATTTTTATTTTTACAACGCTTCTAAAAATATCTGTGATATTAGATATTTTTATAAAATTGACATCTCGATATTGTGGTGGTTTAGGATTTTGTCTTGTTATTTGTGACACTTACACGTGTCCAATCTGTCCAATTGCCTGAAGCGGGGTGGGTGAGGGAAAAAGGAAAAGCAAAAAGCAAAAAGGCAACAGAGTTATGGATAAGAACGATGACGTGCAAATTTATGATTCTGATGGGGTTATGGATCAGGACCAAATCCCGGAGTTATGTTTCGAATTGCTGAATCAACAACAAAAAATAAAATAAAATATAAATATAAATATAAACTAGGGTTTCTATCTCCTCTCTCTCTCTCTCTCTCTTAATAATGATTCTCCTACACAATACCTACTGTAATGTAATAACTTTTGGGAAATTAATCTTTATCCTAAATTTTCAATTTCATTACAAATTGTGCAATCTAAAAGTGTTGCAATTTTAACGAAGTGGAGTTAAAAACCATTGCCCAAAAAAAAAAAAAAATGCAGCTGGCTAAAAATTATTTGCTCTTTCAATATGCCGTAATTTTTGACCGATAATGATTTTTCCAATAATTAGTAGAAAACAAAATTACATGAAAATGGATTTATATAATTTAAAAATAGCTAAAATTTGGTTATACTTTCGACGTGGGGGTCAAAACGGCGTGCAGTATTGTCGGTTAGTCACGAAAATCAAGCTGTTTTTGGGCCGCCGGAGAGAAACCTTGGGCCGAACTTCAAACAGTGTCATTTCTGTAATAAAGCTGAATTCTGGGTGCTTTTTCACTCTTCTATTTTTATATATTTCATCCCAGTCTTCGGATAAGACTTCGTCTTCTTCGTCTTCAAGATTTCAATTCAATTCTCCAGAGAGCTTAAGCTAGCGGTGGCCATGGACGTGGTTTCCCTGAGAACGTCGTCGTCGTCTTCCGTTTCGGTGTTGAATCCTAATGCTCCGTTGTTTGTTCCGATGGCGTACAGGACGGTGGAGGATTTCTCCGACCAGTGGTGGGCGCTGATCCAGTCGTCTCCCTGGTTTCGCGAGTACTGGCTTCAAGAGCGCTTCCAAGATCCTCAGAATGATCTTTCGTTTTCTGAAAATGAAGACATCATTCTCCCTGATCTCGAGAGTTTCTTCGAGGACTTCGCTCGTCAAGGTAAAGAAACGAATTAAATCGAATTTCCGATTGACTCAATTCGGTTCACTTTCTTAATCGAGGTTATAAACTCGCGATTCCTTTTGTGTTTCTTCAGAGGAAGAGGAAGAATCTGAGTACTCCAAAGATCTGGTCCCGATTGGAGCATTGAAATGGCACAAGGCTCGGAATGCGGTTCCAAGGTTTGCTCAAAAGGCTCCGAAGATCGTCAACGTGAAAGTGAGTCCAAGGACGATTCACCAGCCGAGGTAGATTCGACGATTTGCCGAGTACGTTTCTTCAACAGAAACTCAGGATTCAGGAACCAGTTTAAGTTGCTTTCGATCTAGGTTATCGATTTCGTTTGTGTACAGAGGCTAGAACTTTGATATCGGTTAAACATTAACTCTGATGGTCTGTCTTCAGTTATTGTAAATGTGTACTATGTTCTCACTTTCGATTATGATATAATAAAAGACATCCAAAATTTTCAAAAAAGTAGATCAATGATCATCTAAATCCAAGCTGAAGAACATCGGAAATATTTTAGTATATTATTCTCTCTTCTTTAATTTTCTCAGCAGAAAGTCGCCGAAAAACTCTATTAAGTAATGTTGTTGACTTGATTATTGACTTCATCAGCTTGCCAAGGGATTGCAGTTTTGCTAATTTTGTGAAGCACTTTGATGACTTCTTCTGTGGTGACATTGCCTGTAACAGTCACCTTGTTCAGCTGCGTATCTACATTATATGTCTCTATATCTGCAAATCGTCCCCCCCCAAAAAAAAAAAAAATGAACACAGAAGATTCAATGCTTTGTTCATTAAATTTAAACCAGAGGCAGAGGAGAAATTGATGAAGACATTGAATACAAACCTTGGATTTTCTTGATGGCTTTGAGGATCTTCTTGATGCAGTCCTCACAGTGCAAACCCACCTTCAACTCCACCACCTATGTATGGCCAAAAAACAGAGAACCATTAGCACTTTTTGAAGTCAAATTCCAAGAAATTGTCTCTGCAAAATACTTGCATTAGCCATTCTGATCAATTTCTGATCCCAGCGCCAAAATCTGGAGAGTGTTGAGGAAAATAAAAAGTGAAGTGGGGTTGGAGAAGATGGATGCAAGAAGAGGAATGAAGTGTTTTGATTAAGATTCATTTAACCGATGACAAAGCGAAGCAAAGAATTTGAGCTGATGAACAGTGAAAAAGTGAAAAGGGGGAGGAATTGGATTCATTTTCCGTGATTGATGCGTTTCATCTTAAAAAGCTGAGCCTTTATTCTTGATTTCTAGACTTTAGAGTTCAGAGGAAGAGTAGCATCACCAAATATCCTCTACTTTGCTGGCTTTTCTGGCATGCCCATTTCTATCCCACAATGCCCTTTCGGTATCCATCCCCACTTTTTTCGTGTCCCTGCAAATATCCTGTTTTTTTTAATCGAGTCTGGATACTTCTGTTAACTTTTCTTTTTCCTTTTTTACTATCTTTTGTCACATTTTAGTTCTATTTTGAAATGTTTATTTAGATTTCCGTATTTTTTAAAATAATTATTTAATTAAAATTATAGAGATCAAAATGAACCAAAAGTAGAAATTATAATATTGAATTTTGTTCTCTTTTATAACGGTAGACATAGCAGTATCTATATACCAATTACCGTTGAGCTGGTAGTTTTTAGCTTTGATTAAAAATGAAATAAGATATCATGATATAATATTTTATTTTGATTTAAAAAAGATTCTTAAATTTTATTTGTGTTGACGTGTTTGTTTGTCTGGTAGTTTATGTTGGAAATGATAGGATTTGATGGACCTGTATGCAGTCGGGGAAGAAGCGGACGAACAAGAATTTAGGCCCATCTGATTTTAATGTTGGGCTCGGCCCACACTGAATTTATTTTTATGTAAAAAAAGGAGTGTATATATGTAAAATCTCGAAAATTTAAAAGAACCTTTTGAAGAATAAAAATTGAACACAAATATGAATAAGAATTACATGATGAATCCATACATGAAAAACACACACTTACAGAAAAGGACCATGAAAAAGCAAATCGTTGTGTAATATGCTTAGGAATAAAAACCATTTCCAATTTTACAACATATACATAATGTTGATGTTGAGATTTGGAGGTTAACGTGTCCTTATGGAACGAGCGATTGTTCGATAAATGAGCATGCAATAACGATCATCGATGTCGGTGTAGTGTCCTATCTAATTTTCTACAACGGTCAAGTTATTAAACGGGCCGGGGAAAGAGATAGTAGAGAGCATCTTAGGACAGATTTTTCACTTCTTTTATAGGTGCTCATGGTCAAATTGTACGTGGCATGTGGTGCTCTCGTACGATATTTTGACGGGTGGTTAGAGAACATTCCTAGGGCCTGCAAACTGTAGAGTGCACTGCGCCTTTCGTACCTTGTCGCGAGGCCCATGTCGCATCCTCCTAGTCGTACGTCTTAACGTAATAGCTATGGTCCATAAAGCCAACTGTCACCCTACGAGCGAAACACGTCGTACCCATAAAATATGCACACTTATGCGACATATGCACACTTTCATCATCAACACACACATGCACTACTGCTCTAAAGATGCTTCTCGCACTCTTTTAATTGGAGCGAAAAAAAGGAAAAGAAAATCAATGGATATATTCACGTACCCATAAAATATGAAAATATCCTTTGCAAAAAATAAGATACCTCAGTTCCCTAGTTTTGTCTTCTAATATTCCCCCTTCCTTTTCATCTTGTCCCCCACCACAATAGCTAGAGAAGTTTAAATGGAGATTTAAATTATATATGGATCTATTTAAATATTTATGTTTTATGTTATTCAAACAAGCTCATTTTGTATACTTCTTCTTCTTTTTTTTTTAATAATATTTTTGAAATCTTAAAAGAATTTTAAACACTCAATATGACTAGCAATTTCAAGATGTTTTTAGAATATAAAATATAAAAAGAAATCTTTATTCAAAGTGGAAATTGCAGATAATTAACTAAATATTGACCTTAGTATTTTAGTTTTCTTTTAACTCTTTATTATACTAAATTATTATCCACAAGTTCATAAATGAATTCAATAATAAGTAGATAATAAAATGAAATCTATTGAAAGAGGTGAAATGAAATGGTAAGCATGATTTTCCTATCAGAATTTTCAAAAGGAAGAAAATTGTCCACTTGTTGTTTGTCCATTCAAACACCCAAATGATATTTTAATGACTTTCTCTCTCTCACACACAATTTGCTTAAACTATAACTAATTTCTCCTTCAAAACAATTTGATGTGATATCTAGTTTGAGACTTTATTTGATAAGAATACCAACTTTGCCAACATTTCAAATTTGATAAGAATGCCAACTTTACCCATAGTTTGATGTCTTATTCTAGACTAAGAATTGCGTCTTATAATTATTTGATATTTATTTCGACACCCTTATCAGTTAAGAATATCAACTTCATCTATATTTTAAGTATAAGTGATGGTTTAATCCATAAATCTAATTATTTTCATTGGAACGAAATTATCTATATATTGTCTTTTATTTAAGAGTCTCAAATTTTTAATTTAGTTTTAGATTAGAATATATTATTAATTAGTCATCCTGATTTTAACTAGTTAAGGTGTTTATCCCAACAAAAGGTTATGAATTCTCTACCCACATGTTGTTGTGTACTCAGAAAAGAAAAAAAAAAGTGTTTCATTAATCTTTATATCTACCCATTTATATTATGACTTTGATTTTTAATAGCTTCACATTAGTCACTAAAGCGAACATAGCTCAGTAATTGACATATATTTCACATCAAATGGTGGTAAGTTCAGTCCTCCACCTCCACATGTTGTAAAAAAAAACACGCTTCATATTAATCCCTTAATTTCATTATTTTAATTCTGAAGAAATTTTGGCACACTTCTTAACATTTGATGATGCCACATCAAAATTTTAAACGACCAAATACACTGAATATTTTTTCTAAAAGCAAAAAATTTCTCTCTACTCAAACAAAGAAATCAATTTGGATTAGAAAGAGAATTTTTTCTTTCTTAGAAAAATAAGAAACAAACATTTGAAAATGACTCAACAAGGTTAGGGCCAGAAGAAAAAACAATTAATAAAATTCAAAAAGCAACAAATTAAAATTTCCCATCTAAATGGCTCTATTGATGGGACTCGTTCACAAGCTCCAAAATAACACCAATAATTTACAGCATTTCTTTAATCAAAAGATAACAGCCATTTTCGTGTAATTTTCAATCACTACTTTTCATGGAAAATTTTTGATATTTTAAAACAAAATATCTTCTAAAAGGGCTTGATTTAACTCCATTATCTGAGAGGAGCTAAGCCTGATTGATATTTACAAATAAATATGTGCTTTACATCATCAAATAGGAAATTTCATCATCTTTTCTCTATGTTAAATGTCATTATAATTAAAATTGTCTCTATTAATTGGTAAGGCCCTGTTTGTGATTCTTTTTTAAATGAGATACCAATATCTAAGTATGCTTGAGGAAATGAGTATATGAGTTTTGATTCTTATGAGAAAAGTGAAAGTTCTCCCCTAAAGTTAGTGTTTTTAAAGTTTGGACCAAATTTTGGATAAGAATTATGAATTCACAACTAATTAAGTTATACTTTAATTGTATAATATTTTTAATTTGTTGCTTTATTAAAATGACCTTTTTGCTTATCTTTCTGTATGTGTACATGTCCATTATTATTATGTACTGATTGTGACGTTAAACAAAAAGCTTACTTGTAAAATGTTCTAATATAATAAGTTAGTTTAGTTATATGATAAAGATCTTCACTTAAATATGTGGTCGTATAAAAAATTAAATTAAAGTCGAAATGGTAACAATAGTAATCATTTAAGGTAGGGTAGGATAGGATGAAACTTTAACTATCATTATATTATTTTTTAAGATGAGGATTTTTCAAGCAACTTTACTGAGAAAAAACAAAATTGGGTGTAGGGTGAATAAGTTTGCATTAATAATATTGATGGCTAGCTTAAGCACTTAAATTTGGTAGCATGACAGACAAACAGAGAGAATAATATTATATATTATATTGGTACAATATTAGCTCAGAAGATCATATACAAAAATCTTATTTTATTATAATATGAAAGGCTCATGGATGGGAATATAGTGATACATGAACAACTTATACCCATTTGAATTATTGTATCACATGAAATAGCAACAAATATAAATATATAAAAATTACAACCCAATTAATCAAAAAAATTTGTGCTTATTAATGATTAGTATATAAATCCCATATGATCCAAAATATAAAATGAAGAATGATTTAGAGGCTGGTTATTAAATTTATTTTCAGTGTCTTTTTGCATAATAGTTTAAACTTTGGTGGGGTTGTTTATTAAAATTGGTTAGCTTCTTTGTTAGAAACATAATGATGTTACCATGCATTTCTCATATGAAAGTCTTAAAATTTAGGAGAATAAAAGAAGGGAAAAAACCTTGATGAGAAAAAATATTATTTTAAAAAATAAAAAATAGTTCATAATCCCTTCTTTCCAAGCTTTCATTGTGGTTGATGTTTTCTTTTTAGCTCATGCCATTTGTTTCCATTTTTTCACGATTATCAACACCTCCAACATATCGGACAAAAGTGACCACTTTTAAGTGCAGGACACTGCATGGAAGAAAGTCTCTGGCAACAAGAATGGTCGATCTATCATTCTGAAAACGAGGAGTCAGAATAACATATACATGACTATAAAGTGGGTGCCTCTTATTTATAAGCGAAGGTTGGTGAATTCCACTTACCTGGCGGTTATTATAATTCCGTGATCTGCAGTATATTGTCAGAAAGACGATTGCGGAGTGGTTAGGCACGGTCTTTTGTACTTCCGCTCGCTCTTTAGGAAGGCTAGAGTATTTATGCTATATTCATCGGTTCAACCAGTATGAAGGTCAGACCTTATAATCCATATTCGTTGATTGGACTGAGGATGAGTTATGAATCAATCTATAAGCTAGACATTATCGTACATTAGAGTCGTGGATTGGAGAATTATTTCTCGACATATATGATATGTCAAGACATTGTATCTGTGAATCTATAATATGATGATGCATGAAAGGTCGTTTCGTTGCCCAAAACATACAAAATGGTATTTCAAGTCCATCTATGTATGGAGTGAAATATATATATATATATTTTTTTTTTTCTTTTTTTTTTAAGCTGACACCTTGATTAAGATAAAATTTCACCAATTTGTCCTATTTTTTCCTCATAAAAAAACTTTTTTAATGAAAAATTGTAATAATCTTTTTTCAGTTCATCAACAAGAGATTTTGATAGTAAAAAAGTTGAAAATTTTGAATTAAAGAAAAAAAGAAAAAATGTTGAAAATTCCTCGTCTGCATTCCATTATTATCATTATCTATCACCAATTCACTATTAATAAGTTTACTTTTGAGCTTCTCGTTCATTGGAAAGTCTAAT